ATGGTATATAGTGTTGCATATAAGTTGGGTCAAGATACATTGATGCAAATAAGCAACGTTAATGCTTACGCATCATCCCAGCTAAAATGGCAGGGGAGGAAGTGTCACGTTCTCTAATATAAAGATAGAGGTAGTAGTATTTAAATTCAAGGGTTTGAAGGAGGACTATGGGTGTCCGGGCACTAAAAAAAAGTAACAGTAAGTTATGCAGGGAGTTTTAAGACATGTCTTTCATGAGAGATGGAAAGTTAGAAACTATCGATTAGGCTTTAATAGATAGAAACTCCGGTAATGGAGTGGGATATGATGGAGTGGGTATTGTTGCTAAAGAAAAGTGTACCTAGAACGGTACATAAAGTTGCCTCACTTCCAACCGATTAATAGGAAGTGTACATTAGAAGGTTGACAAAATTTGAGTGGATGGGAAAGTAATGATGCATAAAGTACCATAATTAACAATCTTGGGTAGCGATCCAAGATTTACATCACGTGTTCATGCAAGTCTTTTATAAGGGATATGGAAAATGTTGAACTTGGGCAAAACATACCATCCTTGGACACAGGGTCAAGGAGAGGAGAAATTTTAAAATTGTTGGATTGGTTGGAAGGTTAGATGTTTATACTTCAAGGAAGTAAGCATCATAAAATGTCAACAGTAGAGTTGGTTTACAACATCAATTAACATTTAAATGTCCAAGGAGAGACATGGAGGCATTTGAATAGGACATGCGTAATGCTAGTATGTTTAACTATCATGAACATGGATAGATCTACAGACATCAGTTAAACTTTGCATGAGTACACAAGAGGTTGAATGTTGTACTTAATAAGAAGAGCTACACTAATAAGATATGAAGACCAGTTATTGGTTGGGTTGGGATGACCCTAGAATGTCACCGTGGAAAGGAATGGTGCATTTAAGTAAACATGGAAAGTTAAGTCCAAGATATGTAGGACCATTCGAGATGATATCAAGGGTAGAGGAGGTGGCATATTATTTAAGTTTCCCGAAGAATTACAGAAAATTTATTACACATTCCATGTGTCATTTCTGAGAAAAGGTCTAGTTGACAAATTAGCAACTTTGACTTTAAAAAAATGTTGGAATAAAAAAAATGGAGATGGGACCCATAATTGTTCGACGGAGATTGATTTCGGGGACGAAATCCCTTTTTAGTGGAGGAGATTTGTAACACCCTAAAAATTTATTATTCGTAAAATAAATAAATAAATGTTAAGGGTTAAAATTTAAAGAGTAAACGACATACGTGATTAAAGTGTCGATACTCGAAAAATATGATTTTATTGCAACAAATAAAATCAATAAAAAAAACATTTTGTATTTAATTGATTTGGGATGAAAATGCAGAAAGAAAAACAAAAAGGACTATTTCTGCCAAAAGTAGAAAATTAATTTGGAAGTGATGAGATTTGGGAAATCATTCCCCAAATTCACGTTTTTCCTATTCTAGAGACCATTTGACCATCTATAAATTGGAGTTTTCGGCTGAAATTTTGTGAAGACATTCCTAAGGATGTACGGGAGTAAACGTCTTTGGAATTTTGAGATTTCATCAAGAAACGAGAGAGATATCGAGTTTGAAGCGGCATAGGGTCATTCCGCCCAAAAACGGCGATTGGAGGTAAAATACTCAACCAAAATTGATGTATAATATGTGGTTGGCTTCGTTTTTCAATTACCTTTCTGTTGGTACAAGTCTCGTGGGCTATGGTGACTTGTACGTCGAGCGGTTTAGGCTAGAAGCTGCTGTGGCGGCGGCTCGACGAGATTCGGGTACAAAAACTCAAAATACGAGTTTAATATTGAACCGTAGGGGATGTAAATTTGGATACGATTTGGGATTAATATTGTATATAAGATTTTGTTGAAAAGAGATTTGAGACTCGTTTATTTACTTGGATTAATCGAAATAAATCGGAATGTTTCGATTAAGTTGGTCAAAATTTGGACATCAATTGTAAAAGTTATTAATTAATTGGAGTTTCATATTTAAATTATAAGAAATAATTTAATAACTTATTTCGGGAGTTGTGACTAGATAATTGTGGGATCGGACGTTTTTATAACGAGAATCATATATAATTAAATGTTGGGTTTAATACGTCGTTATTTATTTTGGATATGAAAAATTCCATTGGGGAGGGGGTATATGGCGACGAGATATGCTTGGGGTTGACCCGTTGACCATGCCCACCCTAAGGTTGACCCATTTGATTTTTGGGTTGACTTTTTGGGGAAATGTCAATACTCCAATTATTAAAATATAATTACATGTTATAGGATATTACTCAGGGATGAGGTTTAGCCAAACAGAGCTATTCAGGTGAGTCTTCCTGAGATTTTAATTGTGATGCATGCTTATGTACAAATTATTTGAGCATTACATTACTTTTTTTATGTAGATGTTTATGGGTTTATTACATGTATATGAATTATCATTGTGGGTTGCATGCTATTTGTTTACGTGTTTTTAAACATTAATTACCATGTTATAAACGGGTTAATATTTTTGTTGGGTACGGGAAGGGGTCAAAAGTCATAGGGATGACACATCCTAGGAATGGGTGACCGGACAAGGGATAGCTGTATAACCCGAGAAAGTGCCGATGACGGTAAGACCTTAACCTGACGGGAAATTAAGAGATCTCATTATTATTTCAAAAAGGTTTGAAACAAWTGTGCATATTATTTTATTTGGGGCATTGTTTGTTTTATGCATGATGAGGTGTGTATGATTGTGCACAAAAACCATGAACTCACCGAGTTTTATAAAGCTGACTATTAATATGCATCTCAGGTGCAAGAGGTTCAAGGGTGGACAAGAGCGAGGTTCTCTCATAGATAATTATATTATTGTTATATTTCGGATGGTTAGGTTCATGCTTAAACTCATTTTGTAATATAACTCGGTATGGGACGGGTTAGCGTTGAGTTATTAATTTTAATTGAATTTGTAAGACTTCCGCTGTAATAAGGTTTTATTAGCCACTATATTTTGGGGTTATTTATTGTTATTTAATGAGAATTACGTGACACAACTCATAGTGAAAATGAAGGTGTTACACCTTTCAACCCTCTGTTGGTTCGATTTCTTCATCTCCATAATCACTATCTCTAAACTTCATCTCCATCATCCCTCTGCTGGTCGATATCTTATCCTCTGCTGGGTCAATTTCTTCTCCCCTGTTGGTTGATTTCTTCTCCTCTTTTGGTTGATTTCTTCTCCTCTGCTGGTTCGATTTCTTCTCCTCTGTTGGTTTAATTTCTTCTCCGTGGGTGCTCGGTTTACTATTGTTTTCCCAAGGATGTTGAACTTGAAGTTATGATTTAGAAGATATAAACTAGGTTTCTGATAACTTGTTGGATTTACAGATTTGAACTTGATTTTTTGAGGATTTGGTACATATGGAAAAAGTTTGAGGTTTTTTTTGAGGATTTGGTACAGATTTGAACTTGGTTTTCCGATTCCATTGTTCATGAAGAGGTTTTTTGAGGGTTTTTATACTCTAGGATAAAAAAGTAATTTTTGCCATTTAGATGGTTTATTCAGATACAAAAGTAAATAAAAAACATAGATTTATCTAGAAAGACAAATTTATCCATACAAAACTTAATAGATAATTACTATGAATATATAGTAGATGATAAACCTTTTTAAGTTTTAATTCTTTAACATAGAAAAGAAAGAATGAGTGGCCAAAAGAATAAATTAATAAATGTAAAAAATAAAAAAAATACGATATTCACTCTTGAAATGAAGCCTAAGATGATTACGTCGTATACTTTTTGGTTGTGAAAAAATCATGAAGCAATTGATCATCAAGGCACAAGTTCATTTAGCTCAGTATCGTCATCTTTATTCATAGCCAAAGTCATTTCTTCTGCTCTTTTTGCTTGATCTTTCCAGTCTGTTTTCACCAATGTGTACACCATTAAAGATGCACAAGCTGCCTGCGATGCTACCAGCCCTAGCCATAGTCCTCGATAACCTATCTTTAAAACGAAAGCCAGAATGATCGACAATGGAAGCCCTATGAGGTAGAATGCAGCAATGTTGATGCGAACCCCCACTTTAGGTCTGGCTGAGCCGGTTAACGCCCCACAGGCGGCCGTCTGTGGCGAGTTTCCCACCTCCGCCAGCCCCGTCACTGGCAGAGCCGAGGAAAGCAAAGAAAGAATTTGGACATCATTAGTGTATAATTTTCCAAGAACGTTTCTTAGTGTAATAGATAATCCGAAGACTACGAGCCCATATATGAAAGCAATGGAGATCCCAACGATTGCAGCCAATCGTGCACGAGCAGGTTGGCCTGCACCTAGCTCGTGCCCAACCCGTTGTGATATACTGAGGCTCAAGGCAAATGGCATGACATAGATGGCGCCTGTGGTTTGCATGATGATGCCTGTTGCTGCTACACTTGACTCAGGATTCTCTAGTAGCCCACTAAGGAAAAGAACGATCTCGTACCACCACCACTCTAAACACACTGAAAACAAACTAGGTATGGCCATGCTCAACAATGGCGCCCACCCCTGAAATATTGAGAACAAACTGGCCCTACTCCTAGCAACCCAAGGCTTAATCGCGACTTTCGACATGAAAATATAGATCAACAATCCGATATTCATGTTATACGTGAAGCAAGTTGATGAGATAGCTATACCTTTCACCCCTAAATTCAAGTAAGTAATGAAGAAATAGTTAATTGGGAGATGCAAGATGGTTGCACAAGTTGCTACGATGGAAGCAGGCGAGTTTAACCCTTGTGCGCGTAAAAGAGATCGAAGCGGCAGGAGGTGAGCTAGGGCTGGGAGCTCTGGGAGCGAGAATGTTAAGTACATGGCTGCAACCTTTGTGATCACGCGGTCTTGACCGAGCTGTTGGAACACAGGCTCCATATTTAGCCATAGGAAGGTTACCGGCACAGATGTAAGCAAGAGAAGAATGCAGGTTTTGATGTACATTTGGCTAAGGACTGATAACCTTTTGGCACCAAAGGCTTGAAAGCAAATTGGATCCATGCCCATGCATAAACCTTTCATGATTGAGAGGCCTGTGACATTTGCAAAGCCAATGGCTAGAGCACCTCCTGCTAGTTCAGTTTTACCCATATGGCTTAAGAACAACATGGAGATTATGGACTTTGAAAACACAAGGAAGGTGGTGGTTGCTACTGGACATGCTGCCTTCCCAAGCAATCCTACCTCTTCTAACACCTGCATGCATATGAATCCAGATCTTGTAACCATGAAAACAAGAAATTTGCAAGAGAATCCTTGAAATTAGAGGAAATTTGATTAGATATGTAATTCAATAAACGGTAAAATGCATCGAAATTTACATTACTTCTTATATATGGTGTAACAATAATAATAATAATTCTTAATCATTGTGACAAAGTTACAAAATGTCCTATAACAAAATTTCAAACTTTTTACCCGATGTTATAAATTTGATGACACGAATGTCAAATTTAACGTCCGCTTTGTTGTAACAGTTTCATAACACATATATCCATGTCATTAAATATTACAAGATTAACATGTTACTTGTTAAAATTGCATACAATAAGGAAAATTCGACACTTTGTGGCATTAGTTACGAAAAATTTATTCGTCAATAAATATGAACCATATCAAACTTTATGTATTTTACGCATTTAGTAAAATTTTATTAGTTGGTATTTTGGAAAAGGTACAACTAATATATATATATATATATATATATATATATATATGAAAGAGTTCAAACGAGAACACCTTCATTTTACAAGAACACAAGAACACTCTTTTACTATAGACAATCACATGTGATACTATTATTCCATCACATATGATACACATGTGATACTAAATTAGAGACGCGAGCGATTTTCGATGCGATCTTGGTTGTGGGCCAAGTCACCCTTACACCACTAAGCCCCTCACAAGTATTATCACATGTCGCCCTTACACCACTAAGCCCCCTCACAAGTATTATCACATGTGATAAGAGTGTTGTTGATATGATACTGTAATCTATCAAGACCATCACATGTGATGCTAAATCATAGACGCAGACAACCTTTGGCGCGACCTAAGTCGTAGAACACGTCGTCAAAGCATCACAAGGTCCCCTCACGCATATTATCACATGTGATAAGGGTGTTCTCGCGTTCTCGTTTGAACCTCCACCTATATATATATATATATATATATATATATAATACAATACAATAAATTTTCAAATAGAATATTGGAACATTGTGTATAGCATGAGACTGTCTTTCATGACCTGATCGACAGTACCTAATTAAATTGTTAATTAATTAATCATAATTTATTTAAGTAGGTATCTTTTACAATATTAATATTCCCAATTCGTGGTTATGGTACAATTCCATTGCGCATGCATTCCTTTACATGATTAAGATGTTCAAAAGGTGACAATCAGCTTATAATAATAGCATGTGATTTTGAAGGTGATGGCCATAAGTTTCAACATTTTGTCAACTTCTTTTCATGATCAAACACATGAGCAATCGGACCTTTTACAAAAACTAACTTTTAAAGTACAATTCCTACTCAAGTGGACACCATAGAAATCAATTCCAACTATGCGCTTACAAAACCCACATGCTCCATGCACTTTTTCGTTTCGTTACCTCAACACTAATGAATAAGATGTATGCAAACACTAATTTCTTCTATTTGAAGTGGTAAAAACGCTAACTATAAATATAAATCCTGATACTCATCGACACTTTTTGATCGATCTAAATTAACTTGATGCTTTGAATTTCAAATATTGCATATCATGTTTAGAGCTTGTCTATTTATCTTGAAGATTAACTTTTGGATCTACTTGTGGGCTATGTGATTATATCGTGTTCCTATTTCAGCCTACTATACAGACGATTCAAGACATTAATTAGGAGAGTGTACGTATGAAAAACGCATCATATGTTATCTGAGAGTGAGCCACTGATAGAAAGCAATTCGGTTCATTCAAATCCCAACTTGATTAATGTTTGAAATCCATATTATGTAAGGTGAATTGCTTTTGTTAATTTTAATTGAATGGTGATGCAACTTCTGTTACTATGTTGATTGGTCTAAAGAATATTAGAAGATTGTTCTACTTTATACTATGGATGTTATACAACACCATACTCGAGATGAGTGTATGTATATATATATATATATATATATATAGATCACGTGAGAAAACCTTATTTATGTGAGATCTGTAAGAAATAATGAATGTACCGTTATATTGT